ATTTGCATAATGGGCAGATGTAGTCCCCGCATGATGTCTCATCAGTAATCCCATAATAATTGAAATTTTCACAACTAAATTCTCTATAAAAATTAGGATATTGATCCAATATCTTGTTGCGAAAATAGGAATGGTCATAAGCTGGCTTAGTCCTAGGAATTGATACGGGTGATACACTTACTTGAGGTGTGGCTGGTAAAATCATTCGTGCTGGTTCAGTTCTGAAGGAATTACTTGAAGAATTAGAGTTATGAGTTGAAGAAATAGGTGCAGTTAGAATGTTTACCTTAGCTGAAACCGCCTCCGGTGCATTAGTCTGATCACTATTGATGGTTTTCAAAGGCACGTGACTTTGATCATTCCTTCGGAGAACAGTTTTTAAGATTATTTGATCTATGACATTTTGGATTTGTGCGTTATTCAATTTTGAAATCTCAGTTGCACTATATGGGACCAACTTGATTTTGTCTATTCCAACTCCATTTTTTCTGAATAACATGAGATGCTTTCTAGCCCTAAGAGTTTACTTGCGCAAGTTATCTTGCGTGATATTAGGGAGAAATGGTTTCATCTCTTTGTAAATCATTGATCTTACCGTTTTATCTTTAATTTTACCATCAGCAGTAAGAGTATCTACCTTGCTCTCGAATTTAAGGGAATAATTGTACCAGTCTAAGATTTCTTGCTGACCAGACTTTATTGCTGTATCAAATAGATAAGACAAGTATTGGGCAGAACCTGAAATCATATTCTCTGATCCATTGCAAGAGGAATTAGTATCGGTAGAGCTGACATTGTCATCAGTGGATATGGATGAGCAGATGTCAAAGGTGTCACACAGCTCTTGTATTAGACCCTGTTCTACGATTTGATTTTTATCTAGCGATTTCTCTCGAATCAACTCATCATCTTGCTTCACAGTTACTTGAAGATTTTGTTCAACTGAAATCACATGATTCTGATCGTTCCCCGAGGGAACAGATTTTCTGAACTCTTCTGAAATTTCTGAAATTATCTGATCATCTTTTTCAGAGTTATATGATGGGCTAGCAACTGTCAATTTACGTTGAAGTTTCTCCTCTCGCTTTTTCTGCCTTATCTCATCACTAACAATTTTCTTATGAACCTCAAGCAAGAAACTATTCATATCTTTCTTTTCCAATGCAACTGAATTGAAGATAGGTGAACTGTTGTTAGAAGAATTATCATTTGCCGTTAGCCATTGAGGCGCTTCGCAGGCGCTTTGCAGAGTCTGCTTCTGTTTCACTTTCGTGATTCTATCTCCTAACTCAGATTCCATCTCCTCGATTCTAGTCCTGAGTTTGGCATTTTCAGCATCACGCCTCTCATTATATTCTGCATTTGATCTTAGAGTCTCTGCATTCCTACGCTTAAATTCAGCTATTTCATCATCAGACACTGAGAGCTTGAATCTAAGATCGCGGATCTCAGTATTCTCTTTCCTAAGCTCTGCATTCTCAGCCTCAAGTTCAGTGATACGCTGTTTTGATAATTCAAGCTCGGATGACATGATCTATAATATATAAAACTAATACACTGTATATAAGCATTCAAAATAAAAAAATGTGTTTTTTGGGTTGAGACTCTCAACATGAAAAATGCCAAGAAAATTTTTTATTAATACATACGAAAAATAAATACAAATGTTCAGGACATAGCCTGTGATACATGACGTCTATGCTAGTGTCCTATACAATTATTTTTTTCTTGATTATCTCTTCTACATGGCGCTTCTTAGTTGTGGGTTTCTCATTACCTAGTGCTCTATCCTTTAATAAACCTACTATAACCTCTAAAATCCTCTTCACATTCTTGCGCAAGTCTGTATCATCATCGAGGGCGTCTTCTATAAGTGAAATTCGATATTTGGTCCTGCTAGTACTATAGATGCCCTCGGTACTATGAAGAATGAAGTACTAGTCAGTTCCAGTGCTGACTATACCATAGACGTAGTCATAGTTAGGATCGAATGCATCATCTATCTTCCTTTTTTTCTTGTTCATATTTATGTTCATCTGAGGGAAATAGAGAAGTAAGTTAGGAATAGCCCATGATCATCTTATAGCGAGCTAGTAGAATTTGTTATACTTACATTGCAGGCACTTCAGCATTGTAGTAAGTTTTGGCAGATACCCATAGTCACCTGATTTTGTTTACCTCAGTTATACAAATTATTTCTTCGAGCAAATCGTTCAGGATCTTCTTGATAGCGTAGTCGACACAGCCGGTATTTTCTTCACTAGTTATATTCATCTGAGGCGTAATTACTAAACCTTCGAGAAGACTTACTGCCGTGTGCAAGATAGTAGAAATGTACTCGCAACGCATAGCCTCATTACTATCTACGACAAGCCCTATGTTCCTTATCCTGCGAAGAATATCGTCAATACATAGCTTAAACTCCTTAGTACTTTCGTCTATAGGATGGTGAACTGGTTTGAACTGAGGAATACGAGTGATATCCTCACTCACGATCCCGTACTTGCCCAACACTTCACTCAAGTCTTTCAAACTCTTGTACGAGAAGAACGCACGCTTCGGCTTTTCTTTGAGGGTTTTGGCCTCTTTTGCGAGAAGTGTTGCTAGTCCTATCTTCAAACCATACTCCTTAAAATCGTCCTTGATCATGTTAAGAAAGGAAAGACCAGTAATTTCTTCTTTACGGAGAATATCATAGTGTTTTTCCTCGAACTTGAGGTTCTGCTCTTTTAAATAATCGATAAGGGTTTCTGTGTCCCAGTTCCCAACCAAGTAAGAGTCGTGTTCAGCTGTTGAGGTAGACATAGTGCTTTTATATGGTTATTAGGCTTGGACAAAAAATAGTATTACGTTCCGGAGTGAGTTGTGAAAAAATTTATTTCTGTTCGGGAAAGGAAGTATTGGGCGTTAATATAGGTTTTATATCGCACAGGCATTACATCATTACACGTAACCCTTTCTCATATACGTTCGATAAAATAATACTTTATTTATGAAATAAAAACGTTGCCGGTATCTGACCTAAAATACATAAAATCTATTACATAGCATGATACGAATAAAAAAAAATACTAATTATTAGGGTATATGAGAACATGAACTTGCTTAATGTCCAGAGACTCAGAGAAATATTTTCTAATCCCAGTACTCGGGTCTATATGTTCTTTTACATCTTTAACAAAATCATTCCTGTAGAGATCAAAATTGTTGAAAGTAACATGCCCGCCAGTTACAAGCGCATGCTTAAGGTCGTCGACAGTTTGTGTTATTTGAATATCAATAATAAGTGAAAAATCATTACTGCCATTATCATCTTTAAAACGAAAATTGAGAATAATTGTATTTGCCATTTCCTACACCGATACATATAGAAACGTAGTCAGTGATAGTGCATCTATGGAAGACCATTTTCCAAGTATACGTACCTTATTTTTTCGCGGAAAAGTTGGCTGAACTTCCACATACCTCTACATGCTTTATATCTTGCTGGAAAAATATAAGGAGATAAGAATAGTAATTAGCATTGTCGTATGATGCCAAGAGTTCTATGAAAGCACATGAAAGCGGAATCCTCATACCTTTTCACATGTAGATCTACCGGAGAGACGCAAAGGTAGTTAGTTCTTGTAGATCTTGAAATTACAAAGTCCTCAGCCCTTCATAGCATATGCTTTTGACGTTAATATTTACTTTTACAGTAGGCTTTGTGTTGCAACTAGACATCCTTTCACATTTTCTCACATTTGTTTGGGAAAAAAATAGAGGGACTTGGTCAGCATATATATTTTCCTTTCGTTATATGCAAAAATTAATATGTCGCACAAGACCTGACTGATGATCCACTTATTTTTTATCGCACAGAAGTACATGCATGTGGCTCAGCAAAAAAAAAATCTAATTAATGATCATGCTTCGCGCATCTTGACCCACTTCGGACTGTTGATCTAGCCAACCATAGATCAGAATACCACCGTAAATTATCCTGCATACTTTGATCTAAAAGACTCTGAAGGCTCTGAGCTAAAATCTGTCTACTAGCAACGTTGTTCTGTGTAAGATGATTTCTAACCACTCCAATGAGATCAGGAGACGTTGAAGTTTCCACAAAATTCTCTACATGTATATTTGGATTTAGTTTATCTACAGCTTTTTTGCTAATTTTATAACACCCCTCTAGGACAAGATATTTTAAATTAAGATATGAACTAACAATCTCTTCGATAGTCACATCGGTAATTTTACAAAAGCCAAGGTCGAGTTGTTGAAGCCTTAGGCAAGAGTGAATAATGTTACAAATTGATATTTCAGAAAATTCTGTGCGATTAGAGATATTTAGATATTCTAGTTTGTAGCATAATTGTGCGATTGCAGATAAACCTATATCATTTTCTGATTTAAATCCTTCACGTAAAGCAGATATATTAAGATACTCTAAATTTGGGTATGATTTTGCTATTAGCTTTAGAACTTTACTTGTACAGTCCATACTTCCTTTGAAATCTAAATGAATTATATTCGGGAATGTGTGTACAATACCTTTGATTTTTTTATTTGAAAGTAAACGGTAGTGTGTTATTTTAAGATGAGTTAGTTTAAAGCTATAAACTGGTTTTCTTCCTCCTCCAGGTACTATTTTTAAAAATCTTTCCAATCGAAATTTATCATCTACTTCATTTCCCTTTAGCCCAATACGCCTCCATAAAATAGGAGCACCGCATCTGTACCACAACTGACAAATAAATAGAGTGGGATAGAGCGACTTATCTATCGCTAAAAAATGTAAAATCTGTTCTAATAGTTCTGGTATAATAAAAATGCTTGAATGTGTTATACATAGTGCATATTATATGTTGTATCTTCAAACGAAAAAATAAAATTACGTGATCACTGCTCCAGCCTCTCCAGTATCTCATCTAATGCAAGTGCTTGTAAACTATCCATTAAAACTTTAATCTTATTTTCAGGTGATAATCCTTTTAATAATGCGCATTTAAGAAATTCTTCACTATGGCCGAAATTCTTGTTACACTCTTTCAGCTTTGAATAAAAATCCTTGACTGTATTTTCGCCTTGAACCAATGACATAGTACGAAAATTGAAAAGAGTCTTTCTTTTGGACCATTCAAGATTTGCCTCACTTTCCCATATATCATTTATACTGCGACACTTTTTTAGATCTTGTGCTGGAAGATACTTTAGAATGAATGGTATTAGTTCAGGCGTAAGCTGATCAAGTAAATTAGTTGTATGCATTTTTTATATGGTTAGAATTTATTTCAATCAGAAAATAAATCTTCCAAGCTGATGATCACTGCTTCGGGCTGGCTGACTTAGAAGAACAATCATCTTTTTGCGCAAATTCTAGCTCTTGTGCCAATCTATCCAATGTCAATTTAAGACCAATTATATAGACTTCTTATCGAAATTCAAGCGCAACCCCCGCCAAAAACACTTTTTTAATTTTTTTATTCACATCTTCTATAATATCATCTAAACTTTCCATATTGTGCAAATTGCTATTAAATCCCATACTTTGCTATATGAGCCTATATCTTTAATCGAAAAAATATATTAATGATGAGCATCTGATTCCAGATATTCACATAGCTCGGGATAATCAAACACGCCTACAACTCTATCCTATTTTTTATTCTTGATAGTGATAAAGCCAGTTACCCTATCATATGTGTGATCATACTTGGCCGGTTTGCATAGTGGCATATACTGCGTGAGGTTAGTAGTAAACTTACCTGCAGTCTTGCGTTGATTATTTCTGGATATTTTAGCCATATTCCTCATGTGAACTATGTCCACCTTCGGAAGGGTTTATGTAATTCAATTAATCTGATTGGCATCTTTTACAGATAACTGAATATTTATTATATTAGAAAAAAAAAATCTTATAATTATGTACGTACTGTGATTTGCCTTCTCTGAATTGCATATATGTATTATATCACTAATCTGGATCACTGGCATGAACTAGACTCTGTGATTTCAGTTGCAAAGAAGACAAGTGAGGCGTACATTCCCTTTGATATGCCCTAAATTATTATGAATTCGATTTACTGTCCACTGGGATATATCTCCTGGTCGATTCCATTCAAATTTCATTTCAATGAGACATAATTCGCATTTGTCTTCTTGAATATATTTTAACATGAGGATATAGTCAACTATTAGATCAAATTCACAGCCTTTTTCCTTGTCCTGGCCCATATATCTGATAAGTTTTTCCTGAATAGATGGTCTCAATTCGTGCTCTAGCCATCTTTTCTTTTTTGTCTTCTCAATCTCTTGGGCAATTTCAGAAGGTAATGGAGGCACTTCGACCTGAATGAGTTGGCTTAAATATTCCACACGACCAACTACTAAATATATTAAGTTATCCCAGGCTAGGTTTTCATCAATGACCCAAACACGCTGTGGAGCCTTGAGGGTCATTCCTTGACTAGTGTGAATAGTCATAGTATATCCAAGTTCTTAATCTATGACCTTTTTATCTGCCAACATATCTTTTAAGAATTCGTTAGGGAACGTATCTAAGGATAAGTATATTATATCATTTTTTACTAACTCTCTTTTTTCAGATGAGCCAGGAATCGGAACAAGGCAATTTTGTTTGCGTCCATCTCTTAGCCTATAGATTAATGGGATCGGTATATTGAGATATTTTACCCGATGAAGTTCTAAGCATTTTTGGGAAGCAATTCTTCGGGAAAGTAGATGTGCTGATAAGATACAATTTGATGGCTTCCATTTAGCTTCAAGATATTTCCATTTTTCGCTGACTGAAAGTGCTTCACAGAATAGGTCTGACTGTACTCTATTATTTTGCCGTCGCATTTTTTTCTTAAGCTCTTGTAATCTAGAGCATTTAGCCTGATAATCAGTCAAGACTTCCTCATAGTAATCAGCTCACTCTTTTAA